ACCTTCAGGTCCGGGGACAGTTTCGAGGAGTTTCCGGGAAAGTTTCGAGAGCTTCGTTTGTGGCTTTGGAAGAACTTCAAGTTACAGGGGCTTGAGAGTTTAGCGAGTAGGGTTTGGGGTTTAGGGTTTAGGGTTTGGGGTTTAGGGTTTGGGGTTTAGGGCAGGTCTCGATATTCGGGCCCCTTTGTATTGGGTGCCCCTTTATTAGGAGGACTTCCCAAAAGGGACCCTAGTTAGAGAAAGACCAGAACAAAGAAACAAATAATCTCAAAAGCAACTCAACCCTGACTTCTATCAAGCGGTTTAGGGTTTGGGGTTTAAGGTTTAGGGTTTGGGGTTTAGGGTTTAGGGTTAGGGTTCAGGGTTTGGGGTTTAGGGTTCAGGGTTTAGGGCTCAGGGCACGAGACTGGGCCCCTGCCATGATGTCCCTTATCATCCCTTCATAAAGGAGACCAGCTGCTGAAATCATTGGGGGAAATGTTGAGATGTTCCCCCTTCTCCTAACAGTCCTAAACAGGGGTGAACCCCCCAAAACACTAGGCAAAAACATAGAAATCCCTTCGTGATTATACCCTTATAAGGAAGAATATATCTTTATGTTCTGTGGGGTTCTTAAGCAAGTAGTAGTAAAGGGCTTTAGAGCTTCCAAGCCGGACGCATCAAGGCCTGAGCCCTCAACCCTTGTTGCTTCTTCTGTAGGGCGGAAAATGCAACCCTTAAACAGCTTGCCTCTCAGAGCAAGCCGTGTGAATCTTCAGAAGCTTCTTTGCACAAACGTTCGGGATACACAGATCTCATGAAGTCGAAGGTCCTTGAACATTGCTGCGCTCAGGGGAAGACTTGCTTGTAGTTTTCGTGGTTCCGTGATGTGTGGGCCATGATGAAGCTGAACATCTTACACACTTGGCCTACAAGGACAAGCGTGCCTCAGGAAATCCCTAAAAAGACGAAAACGCTGAGGAGAGCTACAGCATGTTGCAAAAACCCAAAGTCACTCGTTCACCTGGTATTGAACATCGGTTCTGGATAGTCCGAAGACTCTGTAGCAGGGAGGGGTGGGGGGGAGGTCTTACTTTAAACACTCAGCCATAAATCTTAACCCTAAACCCTAAACCCTAAACCCTAAACTCTAAACCTGCAAGCCAGTTCAAGTCCCAGATGCTGGGGAGCTGAATGGATGACGGGGATTTGACCGCCGCTGGTGATGACCGTGCGGTCCTGGGGGGCTTAGGGGGGTTTAGGGGTTTGGGGTTTGGGGTTTAGGGTTTGGGGGTTTAGGGTTTAGGGTTCAGGGTTTTAGGGTTTAGGGTGGGGCCCTATCTATAGAAAACCAAAGCCATTTAAACGCCCAAAAGGGAGTTTGCACACCGCGGCGCCCTTAGCTTGTGGAGGATGCCGCTCGGTGGCTCCAACCCGAGAGCCTTTCAACAAAGACAGTGCTTGAGGGTTTAGGGTTTAGGGTACAGGGTTTAGGGCTTGGGGTTTAGGGTTGAGGGTTTAGAGTTTAGGGTTTAGGTTGGTCGCTGAATGCAGGCCTTACTTGGTGTTCTTTCTTGTTTGGCGTCCTGTCTTGTGGTTTGAGGGTTTAGGATGTTTTGGGGAAGGGTTGGCCTGAGGCCTTCGAGGCCTTAGAGGCCTTATGGGCCTTATAGGCCTTAGGGTTTAGGGTCCAGGGTTTAGGGCACCCCGCCAAGACACGGAAGTAAGTTCCGTGCACCCCTGTTCCATACGGCTTTCAAGCTGCGGGCTTGGACGATTTGAGAGGTCTTGGGTTTGAGGCTGTAGGGTTTTAGGGTTAAGGGCTTAGGGGTTGAGACTGTAGGGAACAATGGAGACATGCATGTCAAGTTCCAAATGGTGCCACGGTCAACTACCGCCTTCCCCCTTCATCCCTTCAGAGTGTGTGGAGTTAGCCGGGTTTAGGGTTTAGGGTTTGGGGGCTGAACCCTAAGACCGAAAGAGGCTTGAACCTCAAAACAGCAACCCAAGTATGCGCAAAACCCGAAAGTCTCGCCCTAAACCCTAAACCCTAAACCCTAACCCTAAACCCTAAACCCCTAAACCCCTAAACCCTAAACCCTCAACCCTAAACCCAAAAACCCTAAACCCTAAACCCCTAAACCCTAAACACTCTTCATGCCATCGGAGCCGCAGCCGCGGTCCGCAGTGGCATAGTTGCTCGAGACTGCCTGGGACTGAGTGCTGGGACGTTTAGGGTTTAGGGTTTAGGGGTTCAGGGTTTAGGGTTTAGGGTTTAGGGTTTAGGGTTTAGGGTTCACGGCGAACCTTGAAGTACCTTCAAGGAAGCCCCGTATATGCCAAGTGAAGAAACCACTCCTCAGAGCCCGAAACCCTGAACTCGAAACCGGATTTGGGGTTTAGGGTTTAGGGTTTAGGGCTTAGGGCTTAGGGCTTAGGGCTTAGGGCTTAGGGCTTAGGGCTTAGGGTTTAGGGTTTAGGGTTTAGGGACCCTAAACCCTAAAACCACCAAAAGCCCTGAGCCCTGAACCACCCCCCCCCCAAGCCTGGGACGCCATGCTTCCCCTTGCTCCGCTCGGATTTGCCTGTCACGCACCAAACCTTCCGCACCCAAGCAATCATGTCTGGCAACATGGAGAGGAACGTGCACTGGGCGGTCTCATGCCTGCCTTCGACCTGGATCGAGCCTCGATGGTTCTTCACCTTCAGGTTGGAAACAGGCACGCCGGTCGTGTTGCAGAGCTCGGAGTCTGTCATGAAAGCCACATCGTGATCCATCATCTGGAAGCGGATTTTGCCAGTCTTGATGAAGGAATCCAATTAGAAGCGACATCTCGGCAAACCTGCAGGCTACCCCGAAACCCTCCATCCTGGATGCAGACTATTTTCAGTGGGTTTAGAATGTACGGCCTAGGGTTTAACTTTCAGGGTTGGGGGTTTCTTGCGGAAGGTGGTCCTAAACCTCGAACGCCCTATAAATCAACATGGGGGTTTACGATATTAGGGGTGCCTTTGCTTACTTGGTCTGGCCAAAGACTCAGAGAGTACAAGGTGCCCTAAGTCCTTGACCCAAGCCTCGGGTTCAGGGTTCAGGGTTCAGGGTTCAGGGTCCAGGGTCCAGGGTTCAGGGTTTGGGGTTCAGGGTTCAGGGTTTGGGGTTCAGGTTTCAGGGTTCAGGGTTCAGGGTTTGGGGTTCAGGGTTTGGGGTTTAGGGTTTGGGGTTCAGGGTTTGGGGTTTAGGGTTTGGGTTTGGGGTGTGGGGTTTGGGGTTTGGCATGCAGGGTTTGGGGTTTAGGGTTCAGGGTTTGGCGTTCAGGGTTTGGGGTTTGGGGTTTGGGGTTTGGGGTGTGGGGTTTGGCATTCAAGGTTTGGGTTTAGGGTTCAGGGTTCAGGGTTTAGGGTTGCTGGTTTAGGGTTTGGGGTTTGGGGTTCAGGGTGTACGGGTCGAGGACTCAAGTAGGGGGCTGACTGTTTAGGGTTTAGGGTTTCGGGTAGTTTAGGGTTCAGGGTTTAGGTTTTAGGCTTCAGGGTGAGGTTTGTTGTTTAGGGTTCAGGGTTTGGGGTTTGGGGTTTAGGGTTTAGGCTTTAGGCTTCAGGGTGAGGTTTGTTGTTTAGGGTTCAGGGTTTGGGGTTTGGGGTTTAGGGTTTAGGCTTCAGGGTGAGGGTAGGGTCGACAGCCGAGCGGCAAGTCCATTCCGCCGCACTTCCAAATCGGGACCACAACGTTTCAATATAGTCTGACAAGTCTGATGATCTGCTGCGGGACATGCACTGCCAATGCCAATCCCTAGGCCCTAAACCCTAAATCCTAAACTGCAACCCCCCCCCCCCCCCCCCCCCCCCGCGCTGGCATGCGTGGTTTAGGGCTCGATCAAGGCCTACACCCCGAAACCTTAAGCCCTAAACTCCAAGGTATGGGATCCTAGACGAAAAGGCCCAAGGAAGCGTCCAATGAGGGCTCAGTGAAAGGTCGTGTGGGCATTATCTTTGGGTGGGGTTGGTTCGGGCGCGGGGGCTGGGGGGTCATACAGGAATCCCAAAACGAAACGCATTTCACCGAAAAGCCCTTTTTCTAACCGGACCTCTAAACCCTGAACCCTGAACCCTTAAAGCCGTAAAGCCCTTCGCCCTACTCTTAGTAAGTGGGGTTATACTACCTTGTAAGCCTAACTAAAGTACTTATAACCCTACTTACTAAGTGCCCCGATCCTCCAAGCACACCCTGAAGCCCTATGCTGAGCCCTCATCTCAGGACACCCGGAGCACCGATGAGATGAAGCAAACATCACCAACTGGCACCAACAATGCAAAGCCGCGAACTGCCCTGCTGTTCAGGGTTAAGGGTTAAGGGTTAAGGGTTAAGGGTTTAGGGTTAAGGGTTTAGGGTTTAGGGTTTAGGGTTTAGGGTTTAGGGTTTAGGGTACTTTCCAAGGGTATTTGAATGGCCCCTTAGTATGGGGCCCGTAGAAGGGTACTCCTTATATACCCCTATGCCAATTAAGGGCCCATACACCAGAGCCCTTTAAAGGAGGGAAGGGACCACATTAAGGCCCATGAAACTACCCTTGGAGACTTGAACTATGCCCAAGAGTCACCTAAGAAGAACACTAGTTCATGGTTGGATTTTTTTAAAAATTTAATTCTATTTCCTTGTTGAGGTTAAGTAGCCTGAAACATGTAAAATGTTACACAACTATGACAAAGAACAAGGGTGCTCACAGAGGGGTTATAAGGAAACCTAAGCCCGACAAAAGGGAACAAGGGCCTACTCTGGGTCCTGGTGCAGGCTAACCCTCAAGTAGGGTTTAGGGCTTCTAGGCCCCAGAGCAGCTGCCCTAACCCTAAACAGGAGGTAGCCTGTACTTCGCCGCCCTGACTGCACGCTGCCCGAAACACAGAGCTTAGACCTTAAGTACAGTATAATTCTCCGGTAGGTTAGTAAGTGGGTTATAAGAAAAGTAAGTATACTTAGAATTACATTTACTTATAAGACCAAATGAGGTTATTTAGAACCCTTTTACTTACTCAGTGCCCGGATCCTCCACGTAAAGTAGGAGCCTTTAGGATAGGGTGTGGTAAAGGATCCACAAGAAAAAGTAGGGTTTGGGGTTTAAGGCTTAGGGTTTAGGGTTTTTAGGGTTGAGGTTTGAGGTTTCGGGTATAGGGCTTCGGGTTTACCGAAGTGCCTGGGAGGGAACATGTCACTGACATTGTTCGTGTTCTGCTCGTAGAAGATCTCAGTACCTTCTTCTAGACCCGGGAGTAACCTAGGAATAAAAAGGGTACCTTTTCTGGTTTTTAGGGGATTATAAGGGAACCCCCAACCCTAAAAAAAGGGAAAAACAAGGTCCTGCTCCCGGTCCTAGTTTTTGATGAAGGGACTGCACCTTGGACCTCTAGCTATGTACCCGTGGGTTTTGAGGAACCTTTGAAGAACCCCTCAAGGAATATGTAGCGCCATATCCCCTGAAACACCTAAACCCTGAACCCTAGGGAGAGCCGAACCACTCAGGGCAGCATCCGAAGCCCTGCAGAGGACAAACGCCGAAACCACCCACCAAGGACCCCCCCCCCCCCTCAGTTGTGCGACTTAGGACTTGAAACTTGAAGCCCGAACAGCATCCACACCCGAAACCCTGAACCACCCTGTCGTATCACAATAAAGCCCCAAACAAAACCCGGCACAGCAACAAGAATAAATAAATAAATAAATAAATAAATATATATATATATATATATGGGGGATGGGTTCTCTAAATTGGGGTGCCTTTTTGGGGTCCGTCTTACAGGGGTGATGCCTTGTATAGGGGATCCAAAAATAGGGGGCCACAGTTTAGAGAACTGCCCATATATGCAGGTTAGGGCTTAGGGTTTGGGGGTTTAGGGGTTTAGGATTTGGGGCTTAGGGAGTTTGGGGTTTGTGCCAAGTAGCACATCTGATAGTCCCAGGCAGTTGCTGCTTTCCCTGTGCCGCACCCAGTTTGGTCGGCACACTCCACGAAGATCGAGTACCTGGACACTGGGCTTAAGGTTTCTCGGGATCCTTTGGTTTCGGGTTTCGGGTTTAGAGAGCTCGGGGATAGAGGCCTTGCACCAGGCAGAAGTAAAGCCCTAAGTCAAAGATCCTGAGGTCGATGTCTGCCGAAAGGGCTTGCTAACCCTGTAACACTCCCTGACTCAGTTCATGTAGCTGTCGATGCAAAGGGTCTGCCGACGGAGTTTCCTTCGAAAAACGGGCTTTCGGCAGGATGCAGAAAGATTGACAAATGACCCGGTCAGTTCCAAAAAAACATAGCCAAGTTCATCTTTCTGGACCCTGATCCCGAAACCTTTATAAAGAGTTCGAGTAAAACAGCGGCCGGACGGGAGACCGGAGTATTGATGAGACCCTCGAGCCGAAATCTTACACGCTTATGCCCAAGACCCTGAAGCCTAAACCCTAAACCCGAAACCCTAAACCCTAAACCCTAAACCCTAAACCCTAAAACCCTAAAACCCTAAACCCTAAACCCTAAACCCTACACCCACCACCTGAGCCTTGCGGCGCCCTAATGGAGGTACCGAAATGAAGCTTCCCCATCTTATGGAGGCGGAAGCCCCAAGTAGGGTTTCGGGGGTTTAGGGCAGCAGAACACAACACGCGGAACCACAGCTGGGAACTGAGAACCTGTAAACCCTGAACCCTGAACCCTAAACCCTAAACCCTAAACCCTAGACCCTAGACCCTAGACCCTAAACCCTGAACTACTCAGGGCTTCGTTTCTTCGGATCTTGGCTGCACTTAGCAGGGCAGCTATAAATCTAATTTTCAGCTGCCTTTTTAGGAAACCCAATAAACCCAAAAAGGCTAAGGATCTAAAGTTACAGTAAAGCACCCGCAGAGGGATAAAGTAGACCCAAGAGCAGCCTAGGAATCAAAAGGGCACCCTTTTCTGGTTTAGAAGGGATTCATAAGGGTAGCTGAGACCCGAAAAAAGCCGAGTAAGGGCCTGCTCTGGGTCCGAGTAGAAGACTTCGGGCACCGGGCACAGGGCGAGGCAATTTGGGGTTTAGGGTTTAGGGTTTAGGGTTTAGGGTCGAGGGTGTTTAGGGCCTAGGGCGCGGGGCACATGTCAAAGCAGGTCATGTTCGGCTGCCGGTAGAGCATTGCCACAGCGTCTGCCAAGCCTGAGCCCACGATCCCTGAACCTGAAACCCTAAACCCTGAACCAGATACATGGCGCTTAGGGTCTTGGGTTAACCGCTGGGCAACTTTAGATACACAAAAAAATGCAGCCCAGGCTTCTATACTCAGGGAAGCTATATGTGAGGTCGTAGCTACAGTTGTAAATGGCGATTAGGTGCCTTGACCTCTAAGTAGCTAGGGTTTGGGGTGCAGGGCTTAGGGTAGTCCAGGGTTTAGGGTTTGGGGTTCAGGGTTTAGGGTTGGTGGCTTGAATGAAGGTATAAGGATACCACTCGGTTTCGCAACCCACACTGTAACCCACCTACCACAAAAACACCGGCCACAACTCCCTGCCCCCCCTCCCGTCCCCTCAACTTGAATTCTTGAACCACCCTAACCCGACACCAAAAACAACAAAGCCCTCGGCCCTAGGTTAACGACAATAGATAGGAACCGCAAAATAGCCCCCCCCCCCCCCCCCCCCCCAAAAAAAAAAAGACCCCATCCAGGCCCTAAACCCTAAACCCTAAACCCTAAACCCTAAACCCTAAACCCTAAACCCTAAACCCTAAACCCCCAAAAAAGGGACCCCAAAAAGGTACCCCAAATTCGGAAACCATCTGCCAAACCCCAAACCCAGATCTAGCACCTCAGGCCTTGATCTAGGGCCTCTGAACATTGTAGGTCTCCTAAACCCTAAACCCTAAACCCTAAACCCTAAACCCTAAACCCTAAACCCTAAACCTTAAACCCTAAACCCTAAACCCTAAACCCTTTGACCCGCAGTCCGTGGTCGGCCGGCCTTGCATCGGAGTCTTTGCTCCCACCACCTTGCCGCACGCCGCGGCAACCTGGACGGGAGGCTTCGTTTCTTGGTGGGTTTGGGGTTTAGGGTTTAGGGTTTAGGGTTTAGGGGGTTACTTGGAGGGTCGTGGAACTTAATGTTTACTGAACTTGGCACCCCAGCAAAAATCCAAGTGAACCAAGTATAACTGTAGTTATAAGCCACGTAAAAGCCCTGTAAGTGCCCTACCTCCAGGTACTGTACCCTGGACCGTAACCCCTGAACCTGAACCCCGAACGCCAACAGCATCTGGACAGCTCTTGGAAGCCCTGTTAAGAACCAACAGCAAACAAGGGTTTAGGGTTTAGGGTTTAGGGTTTAGGGTTTAGGGTTTAGGGTTTAGGGTTTAGGGTTTAGGGTTTAGGGTTTAGGGTTTAGGGGTATCCATCAACAAAATCTGGGAGATAGCTTGCCAAAAAAGGATCTGCGCAGAAACCTTGCGGGTCATTATTTCTCTAGGTTCTGGCAGCAATACAAAGTGCGTGAGTGCTGTATGAAAAGTGTGTCTGGTGAGTCATTAACATGAGCAGACGCTAAGACATCTGAAATTCAGCATGAACAAGTCTGAAGTGCAAACTGGTCAGACAGACTGTTAGGGTTTAGGGTTTACGGCTTAGGGTTTATGGTGTGCAAGGGTGTGGCGGCTAAGCAAGCCCAAACCCTAACCCCCAAACCCCAAACCCCAAACCCCAAACCCTAAACCCTAAACCCTAAACCCTAAACCCTGAACCCTAAACCCGAAACACTACACCCTTTTCCCGCTTCGGCCCTAAGATGGGAGGCCAGGAGCTGGCCAGGCCGGCAAAGGCGCGAGGAAGGATGACGGGTAGGGATAATTGCACATGGCCATCTCCTCAGGTTTAGGGTTTAGGGTTTAGGGTTTAGGGTTTAGGGTTTAGGGTTTAGGGTTTAGGGTTTAGGGTTTAGGGTTTAGGGTTTAGGGTTTAGGGTTTAGGGAGGTTTCCGGGTTTTGGGGTGTAGGGTTCGAGGGTGGAGGGTTTGGGAATAAGGATTTGGCTTGGGGTTTAGGGTTTGAGGCTGGAGGGTTGGGGTTTAGGGTTTGTTTGGGGTTTATGAGGTGGTTCTACATCGAGGCAACGCACAAAGGTACCCCAAAAAAGAACAAACCTCATTGGAGCCTCATTGGGCTTCGGACTTCTTCTTCGGCTGTATAAACCCTGACCCCTAGAAGCCTGAAGCTAAGGAATTGTTGTCGCAGAACGCGCGGCTCGAGGGTCTGTCCTCAAAGAATGACCAAGTTTGGGGTTTAGGGTTTTCAAACCCTAAACCCTAAACCCCACAACCCTCAACCCTAAACGCTCAACCCTAAACCCTAAACCCTAAACCCCTCAACCCTAAACCATAAGAAGGCCTAGGCTTGTTTGGGCTTCGGGTGTAGGACTTCAAACCAGATTTACGGCTCGAAGGTCCATTTCGGCCAACTGAACCCTGACATACGGGAATTTAGGGTTAGGGTGAGGGTTTCCTAGGGTTTGGGTGAGGGTTTCCGTTTAGGGTTTAGGGTTTAGGGTTTAGGGTTTAGAGTTTAGGGCCTTGTGCAAGGGTTTTGGAACGAGGCGCCACCGCGGCATAGCTACCGATCACGTGGGAAAAACTCTCGAACCTAAACCCGAAACCCCAAACCCGCTGAAACGAAGGATCGTTCCATGAGGGGTTCGGGAGCCTCCTAGTCCAAAAACTCCTGGGGGCGGGGCAATAAAGCCGAAGGCTCATAAGCCCGAAACCCTAGGGAATGGGGTTTCGGGTTTAGGTCTAGGTGGCGACATTGCAGGTCCCTGAGTATGGGCCCTTACAAGGGTACCCCTTTCTTGCCCCTGTACAAACTAAGGGCACATACATCAGAACCCTGCAAAGCAGGTTAGGGACTATATTGCGGGCCCATGAAAACTACCCTCAGATTAGGGTCTAGGGCTGAGCCGGAAGCTTACATTGACGACAACTTCAGGTTGTCAAAGGGATTTATCAGGGATTAGGGCCCTTAGGGGCTAGAGGGGTTTCTTGGGGGTTCAGGGTACGTAGTAACCCAGTTCTAACGGTCCTCATAACCCGATTGTTGCATCCATATTAGGGCACTCAAAAGGCCGAGAAGTGGGTCATAAGTACAGCTGTATTTGGGTTAATAAGTACCATGGACCTCCAAGTACAAGGCTTTGTCCGACTTTGGGGGCGACATATTACTAAGGGACCATGTAACTACCCTTAGAGCCTTGGCTCATGCATCAGAACCCTTTAGAGGAGGTGAAGGGACCAGATTAAGGGCCCATAAAACCCTAAACCCTAAACCCCAAGCCCTAAACCCTAGTGGGCATAAGGGCCCATCAAACTACCCTTAGAGTCTAGGGTTTCATCAGAGCTTAGGGTTCATAAGTGGTCAGCCTAACCCCGTACCCTAAACCCTAAACCCTAAACCCTAAACCCTAAACCCTTCTTGTGCCAGGGCACAGTCCATGCATTCCTGGCCCCCAGCTCGGCTCAAGAGCTCTAGGGGCTTTAGGGTTTGGGGCTCAGGGTTTGGGTTTGGGGATTAGGGTTTAGGGTTTAGGGTTTAGGGTTTGGGGTTTGGGGTTAGGCTTCAACCTTCAGGTTTAGGGGATTTAGGGGGGTTTAGGGGTTTAAGAATTAGGGTTTCGGGCTCACGGCCGTCCGACTCGTAGGGTTTAGGGCGAAGAGCTTTCGGACAGGCTTCGGGTCGCAGAGCAGCAGGGATGCAAGGTTTGACGTTTCAGGTGTTTAGGGCCTTTGAGGCTTTAGGGCTGTTAGTTCGGGGGTTAACGGCATGTATGGTAGAGGGGATTGCCACCCCCCCTACTCGAAACAAGGCTAAGGATGCTTCTTAAAGCTTAGCCCTAAACCCTAAATCCTAAACCCTAAACCCTTTTCACAAATTGGGCGATGCGTCCTGGCATACTGGAGGAAGTGATCCAGCTCGGAGGCGTTCATGGTGTGGCAGAGCTGGAACGTGTCACCTCCAGATTCAATTAGGGTTTAGGGTTTAGGGTTTAGGGTTTAGGGTTTAGGGTTTAGGGTTTAGGGTTTGGGGTTTGGGGTTTTGGGTTTTGGGTTTAGGGTAGAAGGTACAAAACACAGGAGGCGTTGACTTCTTAATCTGATTTAAGGCAAGCCATCATATCCCTGACAACCCGAAAGCCCTGAATGAATCCTAAATCCTAGGCCCAAGCCCTAGACCTCAAGCCTTATCGGCAGTTCTAAGTAGGGTGATAGTCGCTCTGCTTATAGCCCCGGTCATAACTGCCCGTGAACCTCTCAGTATAATATCCACCAACATCTGCCTAAACCCAAAACCCAAAACCAAAAACCCAAAACCCCAAATCCTAAACCCTAAACCCTAAACTTCCCTAAACCCTAAACCCTAAACCCTAGACTGCAGTTTCGAGCCGAGGTGGCTGATTTCTTTGAGGCCTTCTGCGCTGCTGGCTTTCCTGCAGCTCTACTTGGAGGTTCACGGTGCCCCGGTTTAGGGTTTAGGGTTTAGGGTTCAGGGTTTAGGGTTTAGGGTTTGGGGTTTGGGGTTTGGGGTTTGGGGTTTGGGGTTTTTGGTTTTTGGGGTTTGGGTGTTTTTTGGGTGTTTGGGGTTTGGGGTTTGGGGTTCGGGGTCTGAGTTGCTGAGTTCATAGGCTCCAAAACAAGTGTGCACTTTCAGCTCTACAGGGGGAGTATAGTATCCTAAAAAGTGTAGTATCCCAAAAAGTGTAAAGTGCACGAATTCAGCTACTAAGCTAACCCAAGCATAACCAGATGGGGGGTTTCCGAAATTAGGGGTACCTTATTGGGTCCTTCTAGCCAGGGAATCCTACTATTTGGGGTCAAGAGGAGAGGTCCCTCACTTGCGGTGACCAAATTAGGGCATTTTAAGTTCAGTTATAGCTTGATGTAAAAAAGGACCCTGAACCTCCAAGTACGTTCGTGTGCAGGGTATGAAAGGTCTTGTAGGCTTCTAGGGTTTGTGGGGTTCATAGGGTTTGTAAGTTTTCGGGCGCTTGTCTGCCTGCTTTTGACCCGCAAAGGTAAGGCCCAGGGCCCACATTACTACTAATTGTTTAAGAACACGGAAAAATAAAGAATATTCTTCCGTATTAAAGGTACTATAGGGGTTATTTTTGGTTTATGCATATCTGTTGGGGTTCTTAAGCAAATAGTAGACCAGGGGCCCATCCTCAAAGCCCCGGCGCTTGCCGGGGCGCGCAGCTTGCTTTGGGGTGTTGGGGCGGCATTGCGGTGTTGGGTTCAGGGTTCTCGCTGTCGCCATTTGCTTTTGTGCGTGTGCCAACGCTTCCGGGTTTAGGGTTTTGGGTTTGGAGGTTCTTTCAATGCCGGAAGCCTTGACTCATGGAAGCCCTGAAGCGTATAAGGCCCTAAGCCCTGAAACCCCTCAACCCTAAGCTCTCAAGCCCTTTAGGGTTTCGGGTTTCGGTTCGGGCTTTGGGGGGGGGCACCCTAAACCCTAAACCCTAAACCCTAAACCCTAAACCCTAAACCCTAAACCCTAAACCCTAAACCCTAAACCCGGTTCAGGGCGCGCCAAGCGTCTGAACCACGCTGGCGAATGCGGAGCGGACCACATCCGGACACTTCGGGTCTGCTTTGCCTTATCGTGCATCTGCATCACGGGGCCCTCAACCCCCTAAACCTCCTTAACCCTAAACCCTAAACCCCAAACCCTAAACCCCAAACCCTAAACCCTAAACCCTAAAACCCAAACAAAAAACTGCCGAAGAGTCGGAAAATTCCCCTGTTAGGCTCCTCAGGAGCTTGCTGGCCAACCAATCACCCCGCCAGACACTATAGCCCCCACCCATACACCGGGTCTCAAAACGCAAGCCACCGTCGCAGGGAAGTTACACGGTCCCTTGAAACGCGCCCTAAACCCTAAACCCTAAACCCTAAACCCTAAACCCTAAACCCTAAACCCTAAACCCTAAACCCTAAACCCCTTATTTTGACCCTGCAGAACCCAAGGGCCTATACTTCAGAACCCTTTCAGGAAGGCAAGGGACCATATTAAGTGACCAAATATCATTACACTCAGACACCAGGGTTTTGGGAGGTTTAGGGGGCTTAGGGCGTTTAGGGGGTTTAGGGGGTTTAGGGGGTTTAGGTGGTTTGGGATTTAAGGGGTTTCGGGTAGAAGCGCGTTCCCAGGTTTTCCTCAAAACCGAAAAGGCTTGCTAAAAAGGGCGGCACGCTCGCGTCCTCCGTCACCAACTTGTAGAACGTGGCTTTGTCTTCCTCTTGACTCTGAAGCGTTTTTCCTAAACCCTAAGACCCTAAACCCTAAACCCTAAACCACAAACCCGGAACCCTGAGCCCCCCCCCCCCCGGCCCAACTTAAAAAAAACCCTAAACCCTAAACCCTAAACCCTAAACCCTAAACCCTAAACCACAAACCCTGATCCCCGAACCCCGCAAAAAACCACCATAGGCAGGGGTCGAGGCGCACTTTGCGCCCTCGGGTTTCGGGCTGTGGGGGCTAAGGGCGGCCCTAAAAACCGCTGAGCTCGCGAACCCCGAACCCTGTTTGGGGTTTAGGGTTTAAGGTTTAGGGTTTAGGGCCCCTGGCTTCTAAAAGTGAGCCCCCCCCCCACCCGTCCGCGGTCTATTACGCCCCCTCAAGGGATTAGGGTACCCCCTTTTAAGGGACTATAGTACCCCCTATTAGAATCCCTGTTAAGGAATGTTAGTATAATAAGGGTTCCCCTATTTTCGTAAACTCCCATCTGAGCCCCTGCTCACCGTCTCATACAGGACGGAGTAGTTATTTAACGCCGTGTGGCACATGCTCAGAGACCACCCAGGTCTTGACTCCTGGCTCCGGAAGTGCTTGGACAGCCATCCGTCCAAGAAGACGGCTGCAAGAGCCAGCGCGTCAGTAAGCAAGAACCGGTTCATGTCCTTGTTATGCTTTATGACAGTCTCGCCATGCGTCCGTTTTCCCTTCTTGACGTTGCGCTTCGTGGATTTCTTGTCTGCCAGGAACCATTTCCGCCTGCGCACACCCTCAGAAAGTTCGGGAGTTTTGCTCCCCGAAGGCGTCGCGTTCATGGTTCCAACCCTAAACCCTAAACCCTAAACCCTAAACCCTAAACCCTAAACCCTAAACCCTAAACCCTAAACCCTAAACCCTAAACCCTAAACCCTAAACCCTAAACCCTAAACCCTTTCAGACTCCGGTTCTAGGCTGGCCCTGAAAACACTCGGAAGATACTCCAAAATACTACCGTTTGAATAAGAAACCCTAAACCCTAAACCCTAAACCCTAAACCCTAAACCCTAAACCCTAAACCCTAAACCCTAAACCCTAAACCCTAAACCCTAAACCCTAAACACATGTAAAGCTAGAAGTATCTTCCTTATAACTCTACCTGGGGGTAGACCCTGAAAAAAGTATATACTTTTTGGTATAAGTAGCTATCACAGGAACCCAGAACCAGCAAAAAGTATTAAAGTATGGTACTCCAAAATGCAGATAAGGGCACTGCAGGCCTCATTGCTGTTGGTGTTTGGGGTACTCTTAAGCAAATAGTAGAATTTGATCCCCCTCAATAAGGGACATGTCACATATCCGAGGGGCCTACCTAGAGCGAATATGGACAATGAACATCGGTAACGAGACGGGGACCCTCATTTTGTTTAGACAGATCCACCCTAAATCCCACCCCCTGCGCGCTCAAACCATGCGCCAGGTATAAGTAGCTAGAATAGGAACCCAGAACCAACAAAAAGCATTAAAGTATCGTACTCCAGAAACAAAGGGTAGCAACTGGATACAAAGTACAACGAAGCTCTAAAGGGTTTAGGGCTTAGGGTTTAGAGTTTAGGGTTTAGGGTTACCCTACTTGAACAAAAGGCACAACAAAGCCTCCGGTGCCTCTAGCGACTGAGGGACGCTTTGGTTAGGGTTTTCAGGGTTTCGGGCTTAGGGTTTAGGGTCTAGGGTTTAGGGGTTTAGGGTTTAGGGTTTAGGGTTTGGGGCTTTGGGGGGGGGCTTTGGGTTTTAGGGTTTAGGCAGGCGTCGATAAGGTTCACTGCTTGTGGGATGGGCGCGGAGGCGGCCAGCGCCATGTCGAAGACATTGGGGTACCTGAGTGGCGTGCAGGGGTGTTGTCTCTAGTTCTTGTCGTGAATTAGGGTCCCTCCCTCGGGTGCTTCATTCCCTAGCTAGAGCCGATTGGGCTTGAGGGTCTTGGGCCTTTTTTTGCACTACCCCAATTGTCTTGAATTTCGGTCCTATTTCGGGGCAGCGGGTTGCGGCACTGCCGCCGAAGATCTCGAAATCAAACTGAAGCCTGCATCCTACATCCCCAAACCTCAAAAAAGCCGGGACGCTTGATTCTTGCCCAGGCAGATAGCATCCCTTGGGCCGTCTGCACGTAGGCTTCGGGCTTCGGGCTTTAGGGGTTTAAGGTTGTAGGGTTGAGGTATCCCAGCAACCATGTGAATCGTAAAGCCGGCCGAAACCCTAGACCCGAAACCCTAAACAAATCGAGTCAAAGGGCACCACGAGGGCTCGAGATTAGCGGTTGGGGGACAAGGGTTTAGGGGTCTAGTTCAGGGGCGTCAAGGTTTAGGGTTTCGTGCTTCTGGTCTGCCATGCTGGAAGGTCTAAGAGCCCTTAACCCTAAACCATTAACCATAAACCCCTAAACCCGAAACCCCAATCCCTAAGCCATGGTAGTATCCCTCAAAGTCCCTCAAAAAGCACGATTTTTTGCGCAACTTGGGATCCTATAAACAGTCCTACCCTACACCCCATGCATCGGATCCGGGTACGGTTGCAAAGTCGCGTTGCGCCGATACGCTGAAAACCCTAAACCCTGAACCCAAAACCCTAAACCCTGAACCCTAAACCCTAAACCCTACAAGGAGTCCAGGCTGAGCCCTGAGCCGCCATAGGAGCCACCCATGGCCACAACGCCCTTGAAGCCGTAGGACGCCTCGGTCTCTTTGGGTCTTCTAAGCTAAAGTCTGTAGGGCTTAGGGTTTAGGGTTTAGGGTCTATAGGGTTTAGGGTTTAGGGTTCCAGGCTTCAGTTTTTGGAACTCTTCAACCTTGCCCGACGCCCGGCAACCTTACAAGGATCCGACAGCCCCGGAACCGTGTAGGGTTCAGAATTTAGGATTTAGACTCCAAACCCTAAGAACTCTAAACCCTAACTAACTAAACCCTAAACCCTAGACCCTAGACCCTAGACCCTAGACCCTAGACCCTAGACCCTAAACCCTAAACCCTAAACCCTAAACCCTAAACCCTAAACCCTAAACCCTAAACCCTAAACCCTAAACCCTAAACCCTAAACCCCACCCACCAGTTCTAGACGAGCCGAGCCGCGCTCAGATGTGTGACCAGCCTGGGGAGTCGCAGGTTCAGAGCTTCAGGGCACAGGGGTTTAGGGTTTAGGGTTTAGGGTTTAGGGTTTAGGGTTTAGGGTTTAGGGTTTAGGGTTTAGTGTTTAGGCTTGGAGTTACTCTGGTGCTAGGCGCTCCAGAAGAAATTTAGGGGCCTTAATAATTAGAACAAGGCTTCGGGGGTGATTCTAGTATAGTTTTTCAGAGGGAGTGATTCTAGTATAGTTATAGAGGGACTGTAAGGAAATGCGACTAGTAACTGGGTTGGGCATTCCAGGGATTATCTGGAAGTACTCTCCGGCTGGGCACTCAAGCGATTTGCTGTCAATTGCGGGTTGTCTAAACCCTAAACCCTAAACCCTAAACCCTAAGCCCTAAGCCCTAAACCCTAAACCCTGCGGATACTCTGGGATACGGGTGATGAGTGGTGAGCTGACCGGAGGAGAAGAGCCTAGTTCAAAATCAAAGGGGTTTAGGGTTTAGGGCCTTGGGCCTTGGGCCTTAGGCCTTAGGCCTTAGGCCTTAGGGTTTAGGGTTTAGGGTTTAGGGTTTAGGGTTTAGGGTTTAGGGTTTAGGGTTTAGGGTTTAGGGTTTAGGGTTTAGGGTTTAGGGTTTAGGGTAACAACCCTACACCGAGAGTGAACCGAGGATCAACACAGTAACCACAATACCCAACAAAAACACATAACGGCAAGTGCCTGGAAACCCAGCTGAATGAAGGACAGCTACCGGCAAACCCGGATGCATACACAGGAACTGACTACCCTGAACTACCCTCAACCCTAAGCCCTGAACCCAAGATAAACCCTAAACCCTAAACCCTAAACCCTGAACCCTAAACCCTAAACCCTAAACCCTAAACCCTAAACCCTAAACCCTCATATTTCCAAAGCACGGGCTCCACCACGTCGCACCCTTCTGAGGCAAACGCACAAAGCTATAACCACTTAACCATGGCTTCCCTACTTGCAGCCGCAATTGCAGACACACATTGAAGCAGGGTTTATGTTTTTTTGTACCCCCAAAAGGACACCCCATATATACACTCACCAATATTGAAACGGAACCTTTTATACACCCCTAAGCCCCAAACCCGAAACCCTAAACCCTAAACCCTAAACCCCCCACCCCAACTCATGAGGACCCCCACAGCGCGTAGTCAGCCAGGACTTGACTGATGGAAAGGTACCCGAGCTTGTCCTGCACCCGAAAACCCTAAAAGCACCGAATATTAAGGGGCAAGAGGAGGGACCGCTTAATCTTTCTCCCCCATATAACCCTTCCTTATGTAGTCCCTATAAACCTAAAGCAGCCGTTCAACAACCCCTGAGGTCTCTCCTGTAGTCTCTTAAGAATGTATGAACCCTCATTCGCCTGGGCTCAGGGCTTTTCGAGGGTTGGTAGGGTTTGTGGGGTTGATAGGGTTTATAGGGATTATAGGGTAGATGGGTTTCTTTAGGGCTTTTTAAGGTTTATAGGGTTTGCAGGGTGCATGGGGGCTATCATAGCGTTGAGGACTTAGGAGTTGGGTTGTTTGAGTTGGGGTGCCCCGAAAACCCCAGATCTTAAGCAAGCCTTAAACCCTGAAACCCAAATGACACTGAACCACCCTAAACCCTAAACCCGAAACCCTAAACCCTAAACGAAATCCAGCCTGTCCTTGTCGAAGGAGGCGTTGCCCAAGGGCAGCGTCTCCCCGTAGTACCTTCCAGGAGCTTTTGACTTAAATGGGTTAGGGTTTAGGTTCTAGGGTTTAGGGTTTAGGGCTTAGGGTTTAGGGTTTAGGGTTCGGGGACCCGAAATCCTAATCCCGAAGCCCGCCGTTGAGAAGCACAACCTTTTTTGTAGGTTGTCAGGGTTCTTATGAGGTAACCTACGCAAATGCAGGTTTTGGCTTGTCAAGGTCGACTCTCAACATGCAGGAGGACGTGAAAATGACAAGGTTGGCCCTTAAAACCCTCAACAAAAGGTGTGTAAACATAGTCCTAAGCAACCAAGTAAGGAGAAATTAACATGTCCCAAGGTCGTACCTAGTTAAGGCTAACCCTAAACCCTAAACCCTAAACCCTAAACCCTAAACCCTAAACCCTAAACCCTAAACCCTAAACGCTAAACCCTAAACCCTAAACCCTAAACCCTGAACCCTGAACCCTGAACCCTGAACCCTGAACCCTAAACCCAAACCCTAAACCTAAACCCTTGGGTTCAGGGCTTCTAGGGCTTCTAGGGCTTGGGGCCCTGGCCTGTGCTCTCCGAAGACGATGAGCGCTCCGAACTCGTCGGCCCAGTCGAAGGGCAATCCTGGTTTAGCGTTTAGGGTTTAGGGTTTAGGGTTCAGGGCTCAGGGTTCAGGGTTCAGGGTTCAGGGTTTAGGGTTTAGGGTTTAGGGCCCCAAACCCGACTATACACTCTTGCCCTGAAGCCAAGAGTTTGAGTCACGACTTGTGCGCGGCGTCCCAACCCGAACCACAGTACCTCAACTCGTAGCTTCGGACCTACCCAGAGACTTGGGGGTTTACGAAAATGAGGGACCCCTAACAAAGAGCCCCAAATAGCAGGGTTCCCTTAAAATGAGGGTCCCAAATAAGGACCTCCTAGTTTCGGAAACCCCCACTTGGACTTTTCCGAAAAGAAAGCCCTTTTGAAGTCACGGTGGGGGGCGATTCCGCAACCCTACAAAAAAGAGACCCTAAACCAACCCTAAACCCAATAAGGTGTTAGGGATCCTCCTTAGCGAAGGAGTATCGGAGTCTTTGGGTATAGAGGCTCTGGGGTGCAACGCCCAAGCCAGGAGGCTTCTGGGCTTTCGAGGGCTGGGAGTTCTGAAGTCCCGCTTGAATCTTAAACTCTACGAGCCCTGAACCCTAAACCCTAAACCCTAAACCCTAAACCCTAAACCCTAAACCCTAAACCCTAAACCCTAAACCCTAAACCCTGAACCCAGCCTGTGTTGTAGTAGAAGGACTCCAAGGGACCTTCAACAAAACCAGTTGGGCGGGGTGGTGGGGGGGGTGGGGGGGGGGCGGGGGCAGTTCAAGGTTTTGGGTTTTTTGTAGGGTTTTTAGGGTTTTTAGGGTTTTTAGGGTTTTTAGGGTTTTTAGGGTTTTTAGGGTTTAGGGTTTTTAGGGTTTTTAGGGTTTTAAATATGGGGGTATGGGGGGGGGGGGGGAAGGTAGAGTGGGGGCCTGGGGTGGGGCGTAAAGTCTGGGGGTTTCTAAGGCGTAGGATATGCTGCCGCCCAGAACCCTAGGAATACAAAGCCTCGTTGCTTTTCGCCAGATTGGCAACACCACGGGTTGAAATACAATTTAAAGGGCATCTTTCTTCCGACAGTGCGAGGATCAAGAATGTATAGCGCGGCAAAGGATTACAGGCTTCGTTGTTCAACAACTTTGCTCTCTCAGGAGCTCCGGTCCAACGTCTACCCACATCTACCGCAGAGTCAAAATAAACCCGACTCAGGTGTTCAAAGACTCTAGAACTTGGAAGGCCCGCCAAGGGGCCTTAATTAGGGTTGGCATTGCATCTGTTTAGGTTTAGGGAATCCAGGTAAGGCTGAGCGTTTCGGGTTTCGGGTTTAGGGTTGAGGGCTTAGCGGTTCGGGTTTAGGGTGTCGAGTTTAAGGGATTAAGTAAGGTCTATGAGACTTAAGAGTATGCACCCATGACCGATGACGCCACGACCTTCATTACCGGTGTAGAAGAACAGGGGGCCGCCCTCGCGGAAGCTGGCGTTGTGAACAAAGTAGCGCTGCGAAAACCTCACGAAGCTCAGCAAGTCGGGTTTCATTGCAAGTTGCAACAAGGCTTGCAGGTTCAACAGGGTTTTGAATGGGGTAGCCAAAAGCATGAGTAGTGAACTCTCATTTACGGTACTTATGCCCCGAATTGCCACTACCCATGAAAAACCAGTTATACCCAGTGCAGTATTGCCCACGGCCCAAGCCCCAGCAAAGCACAAACCTTTCTTAACCACCCTACTTAAAGAATCAAGGACTTAGTAGGTGGGTTGCAAGTAAGGTACCTATACTTCTGATATAATTATAAGCCCAATGACGGTACTTGTAGCCCTACTTACTAAGTGCCCCGATCCTCCTTAAACCGTAAACCCCACACCCTATATACCCTAAACCCTAAACTGTCACTCGCGCCCTGAGGACTCCAAGTATCACCCCCGAAGTCTGGGCTCAAGCTTCAAAATGTGATGATGTGAGCTCCTTGCCCGAGGGGCTTCTTGGCTGAGTTCGGGTTTCGAGTTTAGGGTTGAGGCTGAAGGGTTTAGAGTTGAGGGTTTAGGCGTAAGGGTTCGGGTTTCCACAAACTGTAGACCCGAAACCGTTGAAAACAAAAAATATTGGGATCTCTCGCCAACCTGGCTTCGAAAACGGACCTGACGTGAACCATTACTAGACCCAGGAGTAACCTAGGAATAAAAAGGGTACCCTGTGGTACCCTTTTTGGTTAAGGGGATTATAAGGGAATCCCAACCCTAAAAAAGGAAGTAAGGCCCTGATTATAGCGCCGATCTGTCCCACCTGACCATCCGTGCTCTGGCGCATATCACACCGGTTTGGGGTTTAGGAGGGAATTTGGGTTTAGGGTTTAGGTTTAGGGTTTAGGGTTTAGGGTTTAGGGTTTAGGGTTTAGGATTTTGGGTCATAGGCCCCCAACCAAAGGGACCCGTAATTAATATAGACCCCAAAAGAATAGGCTCCTCCTAGAACAAGGACCCCCAATAAGGTACTCCTAGTTTGGGAGACCCCCAAATGAGACAAAGCGGCGTCCGCTGGTCCGCAAAGTTCATGTGGTCCAGCTTTTGAGTGAAGAACTCGATGGACGGCTTGGGTATCCTTGTCCCCTCTAGACTAGAGGCTTAGGGTTCAGGGTTTAGGGTTTAGGGTTCAGGGTTCAGGGTTCAGGGTTTAGGGTTTAGGGTTTAGGGCTTAGGGTTTAGGATTCTGAGGCGGGGAGAGCTGAGGACCCTCCCCCTATTGGGCTAGCGTATCTGGGCACACTCATCCGCTGCCCCCGAGGATGCTAACCCGAAACCCTAATTCCTAAACCCTAAACCCTAACCCTAAATCCTAAACCCTAAACCCTAAATCCTAAACCCTAAACCCTAAATCCTAAATCCTAAAGCCTAAAAACTAATCCTTAAACCCTCTAAGCCCCATGTAAGCCCTGTACACCCTGTACCTGTCAACCCTGTAAACCCTCTAAACCCTCTAAACCCTAAGTCCTGTTGACGCACAAAACTCCCCAACCCTTAGCCCCAGACTTAAACATACATTTCCCCGCCACAGAAATACCGTGGGGTTCAGGGTGAAGGTTGCTTTTAAGCTCTGCTACTCGAAAGGCTTGACATTCTCCTAAAAAACCAACACCTGTGGTTTGAAAAACCTAAACCCTAAACCCTAAACCCTAAACCCTAAACCCCAAACCCTAAGGTGCCCGATGGTAATCCAAGGAAAGTAGGGCAGTTCCCAGGTTGGGGGGAGGCTCGGAGCCCCTTAGGGTTTAGGGCAACCCTTAGGGTTTAGGGTTTAGGGTTTAGGGTTTAGGGTTTAGGGTTTAGGGTAACCCTAGGGTTTAGGGTTTAGGGTTTAGGGTTTAGGGTTTGGGGTTTGGGGTTTGGGGTTTGGGGTTTGGGGTTTGGGGTTTGAGGTGCAGGGTTTAGGGTTTAGGGTTTAGGGATTGGGGTTTAGGGTTTAGGGTGGACATTGGGCCAGGACACTGGGAGACTGGATTCGGCTTCCACTGCACGCGGCCTCTCATGAGGCAACAAGGCGAAGGCTCAGGGTCCAAAGTGGCCCTGAAACCTCAGCCCTAAACCCCAAACCCTAAGCTCTAAACCCGAAACCCTGAACCCTACACCCTAACCCCAAACCCTAAACGCCAAACCCTAAGCTCTGTATAAACCCTAATTAAACCCTAAGCTCTAAACTCCGCACACCTCCATCCCTAGACGTTCACAGAGACTGGAATACTCCCATCAAAGTAGGGAGTACTCCTCACATAGGGTTCCAGAGGGTCCAAAGGCTTCATAGGCTCGTTGGGGCGGTTTGGACGGATTGGAGGGCTAATCATATAGGGTTTATAGGGGTTTGGGCTGCAAAATCTGCCTTGGAGTTTAGGGCTTAGGCTTCAGTTTTTAATATAAAGAAGAAGGTACGAGCTGCCTGTCACTCGGGCCACCGCCAGCAGGACCAGGAGGCAATGAGTCTGGAGCGCCATGGTGCGAGTCAAGCCTTCTTGCGACACCTCTCTCACTTCCCTTCATGGCTATATCCCGCAAGGCATACTGCCAGTAGGCTCAGTGCATCGTGTAGGACATGTCCACAGTTCAACCCTGTTAGGGGTTTAGGGTTTGGGGTTTAATCTCACGACCCTATCCTGGACGGCGGATTTTGGATTGTGACACGGTGCAACTGAGCCAGAATACGCGCAGTCGTCACTCCAGCCTGTGCTAGCGTGTTAGAGTTCAGTAAAGGACATGGGGCTTACAAGATTCAGGGTTTAGGGTTCACTTGCGGGGTAACTGCCGGAGCACGTGGCATGGCCGGTGGTGCGGGAAGACCGGCGCTGAGAGGCCTTCTACATGCCATCGCGAACCCTCCAAGCCATATGGGCATAGCCTCGTCCCGAACAATACACCACAATCATCCAAAATCCCGAAGCCCTACCACCACCCACACCCTACACTTCATCTCACCATGCGAAATCCAAAGCCCATGCTTCAGAGATGCAGGGGTACGGGTTTAAGGTGTAGGGCATAGGCAACGTAGTTTGGATAAGAGGTAGTGGCCCGAAACACCAAGTAAGGATGGGGAGTAGTGCTCGCAACCCACGCTTGACGCTTAGCCCTAATCAAGCTAAGGTTTAGGTTTTAGGGCGTATAAGATCCTAAATCCCTAAACCCTAAACCCTAAACCCTAATTAAACCCCTTAAACCACGCAAACCCATAGCCTGGTCGGTTCCTGCGCCTTTACATTGTTCTTGCCGGACTCTGGGACCAGAATCCATTATACGTGAGCAGGATGACTCAAAACACCCTAAAGCTCTGAACCCCTAAACTCTAAACGTTCGATTTAGGGTTTAGGGTTTGGGGTTTAGGGTTTCGGGTTCGGGGTTTAGGGTTTAGGGTTTAGGGTTTAGGGTTTGGGGTTTAGGGTTTAGGGCTTAGGGTTTAGGGTTTAGGGTTTAGGGTTTAGGGTTTAGGGTTGAGAGATGAGGCCGCTGCCGCTTCACATCGCGGATGACCTTCACAGCCACCTGCCATGGGAGCGGCAGCGGAAGGGGGGGGCGAAAGGGTGCCCTAAAGGGGCAGTTTGGGGTTTAGGGTTTAGGGTTTAGGGTTTAGGGTTTAGGGTTTAGGGTTCAGGTTTTCGGGATTAGGGTTTTGGGTTTAGGTTTGAGGGTACTTATAACCCCAAGTATGTCTGCACGAGCCCCCGAAGTCCTCTCAGTAGGTGGTACGTACACTTCTAGTTGGGGTTGTACAAGAAAGTACCCATGAACCTCCCAAGTTTAGCCCTAAACCCTAAACCCTAAACCCTAAACCCTAAACCCTGGGCCCTGAACCCGAAACCCGAAGTAGTCGATAACAACCCCGAAAAACTCCCAAACAATGGGGCCTTGCCCTCAACAGAAAAGGGTTTAGGCTTGGGATGATCCCCTTTGTCTGACAGTCCCTAATAGGGATTGCACGAATCCCTGTGAAGGGCTGCTAGTATAAGGGGAACATCCCAAGTTAAACCCGAAACCCTAAACAGGGTCTAGGAAGGCTTCAGGGGATTGGACCTGGGCGCCTGTAAACCCTAAACCTTAAACCCTAAACCAACCCTAAACCCTAACCTTGAACCCTAAACTAAATAACGCCAGGCCTGCGAAAAGAAAGTAGCCAAACCGCAGTATAGAGCAGTAAGCTCAGGGAGTTCTAAGAGAAACCCTAAACCCTAAACGAAACTCTAAGCCTCATCCGTTTTTTCAGGCTCTCGGGCCCCCCAAATGCCAACTTTTGGCGCCACGCCTCCTTCTTTGAAATCTTGTCTTTGCACAGGAGGACCTGAGAACACATGGCGCCATGAGGGTTTTGCAGGGTTTTGGAGGGTTCTAGGGGGTTTAGAGGGTTTGGGGGTTTAGGGTTTTAGAGGGTTTTTAGGGTGTCTCAGGAGGGACATAGTGGGGCGGGGGGGAGGGGGGGCCGAGTAAGGGTCTCAGGCCACGACTCTGCCGAAGGTACCGTCACCCAAGAGCTTGAGGACTTCGTACCGTTGGCTGGTCCTGGGAGCATCCTAAAACCCTAAACCTCTCATTCCAGGGTCTTTTGTTGGTTGCTTTGGGAGGAGGGTGGGTTGGGGCTTTTGGTTGAGAGGGTTTCGGGGATGCCTTGTCTTGCTATGTCTTACTCGCCTTAGGGGTTTAGGGTTTAGGGTTGAGGGTTTAAGGTCGCTTTTCGCTGTCTCTCTCTCTCTCTCTCTCTAGTCTCTCTAGTCTCTCTGGTCTCTCTAGTCTCTCTAGTCTCTCTAGTCTCTCTAGTCTCTCTAGTCTCTCTAGTCTCTCTAGTCTCTCTAGCCTCTCTAGTCTTTCTTTCTTTCTTTCTTTCTAGGGGCCCGCCCCTGTTTTCGGGGTGGTTGCTGGTGGTGTCCGATGCCCGGGTGTACACTGCCGACTTTCTTGCCTCTCCCAGACGAGTGCTCCCTGTGTGCTGTGCTGTGCTGCTGTGCTTGCCCCCCCTTTCCCTCCCCTCCCATCGGCAGTGCTCCCTGGCCCCCGACCTAGCGTGAAACCCTTGGTGGTGAGTGTCCCCGTTAGAAGGTACTAACACTAGCCCAGTTACACCCTCAACAAAGCACAACCTCTGCCCCAACACCCCCGAAACCGGCAAACCTCCCGAAGTCCTCCCCTCCCCCACAAGAAAGATCCCTGGGTTCTCCCCTGACCACTGCAAGGGTGAGACAACTGTGTCGCAAGGGCTTGGTGTGCACGGGCATGCTTACACAAAAGACGTACCCCCCACACCCCCTTTAGTTCGGCATCACTCAAGCCCCGCGTGCTCTCGCCTACGCCTATGCTCTTCAGGCAGGTTCTCTCTCTCTCTCTCTCTCTCTCTCTCTCGTTCTCGTTGGGAGTTGGAACTACCTGCTGCACCGAACATCTTCTTTGTGCTGATAGGGTTGAAACTCATCCAAAGCTCTTATATAGCCCTGGTAGTATCCGGGGTCCCCCCTCAACTCGACTCCGGCTTCGGGCTTCGGGCTCTCTACTCCTACACCCACACCCTAAACCCTGAACCCCAAACAAACCCTACCCAAAATAAGGCCCCAAACCCGCACCAAAAGACCGCTGCCAGGGTCTGGGCCCCAACTTGTCCACGTCCCCCAGCATCTGCCCCTTGAGCGTTCTAGGCTTGCTTGGAGGTTCATGGTGCTTCTTTAGCGTGTGGGGTTTAGGGTTTAGGGTTTGGGGTTTGGGGTTTAGGGTTTAGGGTGCTTTCGTCGGGGTGTTTCGACGAGCGCGCCGAATATACTAGAATCATCCCCAACAACATGTTTTAGTTATTAAGGCCCCTATAGTAAGCCCTATAAGCAACCCTACACCCGAAACCCTAAGCCCTATACCCTGCAGAATTAACCCTACAGAATAAAGCCTATAAACCCTACAAACCCTATAAACCCTATAAACCCTAAAACCCTATAAACCCGAAAAAAACCCTAAACCCAAAAAACCTATAAACCCTACAGACCGTATAGACCTTATAAACCCTATAAACCCCTATAAACCCTACAGAATAAACCCTGTAAGCCCTGCAAACCCTGTAAACCCTACAGAATAAACTCTACAAACCCTTAAAGCCTTATTTAGAGTGTTTAACGTTACAAAACGCTAAATGGGGTGTTTTACCGTTAAACAGACCCGAAAGCCTTAGAAGCATCTCAACAAGCCCAGGTCATCACATCCGTTCAGCGCCCCCCCCCCCCCCCCCCCCTTGATCTGAGGGGTCTGTCGATGCAGGGTTTAGGGTTTAGGATTTGGGGTTTAGGGTTTAAGGTTTAGGGATTAGGGTTTAGGGTTTAGGGTTTAGGGGAACCGGAAAACCCTACAATCCTCAACAACCCCTGTCAAGTATCTGCCTTGAAATACTTGAAGTGCACGATCTCATCCTCGCATCTTTTGCTGGCTTGGGGCGGGACAGGGGCTTGTCTTAGGGTTTAGTGTGCTGTCTTCGGGTTCAGTTTAGGGTTTAGGGTTTAGGGTTTAGGGTTTAGGGTTGAGGGTTGAGGGTTTAGGGTTTAGGGTTTAGGGTTTAGGGTTTAGGGTTTAGGGTTTAGGGTTTAGGGTTTAGGGTTTAGGCTTTAGGGTTTCGGGTGTAGGGTTTAGGGTTTAGGTTTCGGGTGTAGGGTTAAGGGCCCTAGACCCTACATATCCCGCAGCATATCTCTTTCAGTGGTAAAACCTACTTCTCTTGGGGTAGTGGCCCCAGGTTATGGGCCACCCTAAACCCTAAACCCTAAACCCTAAACCCTAAACCCTAAACCCTAAACCCTACACCCCAAAAAAAAACCCTAAAATCGGGGAATCCTTATCTGCCCTATCACACACCAGGGCCCCTACTTCAGAACCCTTTTAAAGAAGGCACGGGGACCATGTAACTTCCCACATACTAGAGCCCAAAACCCTAAACCCTAAACCCTAAACCCTAAACCCTAAACCCTAAACCCTAAACCCTAAACCACAGCATCCCCGAGTCCCTTAACACAAAAGCGCCCCAAAACCATCAACCCTAAGGGCCTGGAACCTGCAAAGCCCTAAACCCTAAACCCTAAACCCTAAACCCTAAACCCTAAACCCTAAACCATAAACCCTAAACCCTAAACCCTAAACCCTGAACCCTAACCCTAAACCCAAACCCCTAAACCCTCAAACCCTCAAACCTATATCAGGCCCAAGATAACCCTCAGCCTTAGACCCTGAAAGCGTTGAGGGTTTAGGGTTTCGGGTTTAGGGTTTAGGGTTTAGGGCGAGTCGAGGGGCCATCTTTGTTTAGCTACATGCAGGAACCCTTCCAAGGTACTGACTGCGGTTAAGCGTTTAGGGTTTAGGGTTTAGGGTTTAGGGTTTCGGGTTTCGGGTTTCGGGTTTCGGGCGCGAGCCTGTTTGAGAACATGCCTCGAGCAGCGTCCGCCCTAAACCTTAACACCCTCAACGCGCAACAGATAACCTGAAAAGCCTTCGGGCTTCAGGGCTGTACACCGCAAACTTGGGATGTTCCCCCTTATCCTAACAGCCCTTAATGGGGATTATAGTGCCCCCGATAGTACTATAATCCCGGAGGGGGGGGGGAGCATCCCAACCCTAAACCCCAGAAGCCTAAAGTCTAAACCCTGAGCCCACAACTATGTACATGAATGGGGACTACTTCAACCTTGACGGGATGCAGTTTAGGGTTTAGGGTTTAGGGTTAGGGTTTAGGGTTTAGGGTTTAGGGTTTAGGGTTTAGGGTTTAGGGTTTAGGGTTTAGGGTTTAGGGTTTAGGGTTTAGGGTTTAGGGTTTAGGGTTTAGGGTTTAGGGTTTAGGGTTTAGGCTCGGAATAAAGGAGCCTTCCTAAGCCACCCCACCCGAAGCCTCAAACCCGAAGCGCGTGCCGCGACTTTCCCAGGGACCGTGAACCCTAAACCCTAAACCCTAAACCCTAAACCCTAAACCCTTCATAAACCCTTACGGTCTTGAGGGACCCTTATGAAAGACCGGAAGGATTCGCGGCTTGTATATCGGGGCTAGTTATACAAGGTATATAAAAGTTGTGTTACATATATGTATATGCATTTATTTACGTATGTATCTATATACATGGTATATAAGGCATATAAGGTGTGTGTGTGTGTGTGTATGTGTATATATATATATGTGTATATATATGTATATATCGACACGGCTTATATAGGGAAATAACAGTAAGGGTCCCTTCATGAAGGGTCGCTTCTTCGGGTCCCTTCTTATATCCCGCAGCTGAAGCCCATGCACCCTATGCTCTGCAAGCCCGCTGCGGAGTGCGTCAGACTTTTTTGCTCCGGACAAGCCGCGTCTTGCGTCCCGAAACAGGCGTTTAAGGTTTAGGGCTTGGGGTTTGGGTTTAGGGTTTAGAGGGTGCAGCCCACATAATCGTCTAAGGCGCATTTCAGCAGCGACTTGTATCTTTGGGGAGTCGGTTCGGGCCGAGACCAAGGATCTTGGAACACGAGCCCACGAGAAACACAGGAGTTTGGGGTTTAGGATTTAATGCTCAGGGCTGAGGGAGCCTTCAACTCTCAAAGCCCTCAACTCTCAACCCAAACCCTCTGTAAACCCTAAACCGCAAACCTCAATCGCACACAGACGCCTCCGACAGAAGCAGCTCAAGCTTGGGTACGCGCTGCTTCCTTGTTAAAGCCTCATTTCTCCAACCAGGGTATACAAAAACGGCTTTGGGGGGTGTTAGCTTTAAACTTATTGACCCACACAGAAACTCATTCGAAGAGGCCCCCGACAAACATCTGAAGTTCGACTCTTAGCTGAACAAGCGGCATAGTCTAAGGGCATCTGGCCGTCCTCGTCAGCCAGGTTCTTGCTAGCACCAGCCCCCACCAGCAAACGCGCCACTGCATACGGCGCCTGCTTGCACGCCCAATGCCTTGGCTGGCAGTGTGGACTCTAGAGAAAACTTGACCCGCAACCCACAGATCTTAAGCTCAAGAAGCCCGGGCACCCAAACAACGCTTTAAGGACCTAAGCTTCCCTAACCCTAAACCCTAAACCCTAAACCCGAAGCCCTAAACCTTAAACCCTAAACCCCTTACATTGGGCTGCCCCGATGCAGGGGAGTGCTGCCCGCCTTGTCTGCTTTGTTCTTATCCGCACCAGCCTCGAGAAGCAAACGCACGTTTTCCACCAGGCCATTGCCGGATGCGAGATGCAGAGGCGTCTGGCCCTCGCCATCAACCTAACGGGTGTAGAGTTTAGGGTTTAGGGTTTAGGGTTTAGGGTTTAGGGTATAGGGTTTAGGGGTTGTGAACATCTAGTGAGAAAAAAGTTTGGCTTGAAAGGTGGGGACATGTAGGGGGTATGCTTGAACTAAAACCTTGTGGTGAAATGAAATACTATCTTGAAAGGTAATGACCAACCCTGCGCTTGAAAGGTTGGTTTTTTTTTGGGGGGGTTCCGAAATAGGGACCTCGAGTTAGAATTAGAGTATTTTTGGGGATGGTAGAAGTACCCCATCTTGGGAAATACTCATGTAGGGGTAGACTTAAAACCTAAACCCTTGTGGCCTCGTGGCGGACAAACAACTTCAAAAAACCTCTTCTCAACAGTCTCCTGGACACAGCATCCATCACGGCTCTGGCTTCTAACCTTGCATACCCTAGCCTCCAAAAAAAATGAACCTTCTATTTGTAGTAGGATTATATGTAACCAAAAAGGCAAAAGGCAAAAGGTTAACTACCCAACCCCTAAACCCTAAACCCTAAACCCTAAACCCTAAACCCTAAACCCTAAACCCTAAACCCTAAACCCTAAACCGTAAACCCTAAACCCTAAACCCTAGACCCTAAACCCTAAAGCCTAAAGCCTAAAGCCTAAACCCTAAACCCTAAACCCTAAACCCTTTCCCTAAACCCTAAACAGCCCCTAAGTAGCAAAAACCGCATGGCCGCCACATGCCCTCCCCGGATGCACGCGTGGTGGAGCGGGCTCTTGCCTTTCCTTACTTGGAGGTTGGGCTTAGGGACTAGGGTTTAGGGCTTAGGGCTTAGGGTTTAGGGTTAGGGTTCAGGGTTCAGGGTTTAGGGTTTAAGGTTTAGGGTTTACGGTGGTACTTACTAACCGAATAGTACCTGCACTTATTCCCAATTATAACCATTGGGGTAATGAAATGGCTTATAAGTGTTGTAAGTATAGTTATACTTGGTGATAAAGTACCACGAATCTCGAAGTACTGCCTCTTCGGCGCCCCAAGAGCTATTCCTTGAGAGCCCTAGACCCTGCCAGGAGGGGGCCTCTTACGATACTGACTATAGTTAAGCTAAGGGACTTCTGACTTGAGTTAGGATCCTTACAACCCAAGGCTCCCATAACTCTGCTTATAACCAGGGGCGCCCCTCCTTGTAATGATCCTAAATATCTGCCGGTAGGAGCCTGTAACTGGTACGGGTATTGACGTGGTCCCTTATTATGAGCCGTGGGCTGGGGAACCCTTGCAGACCCCTCATCTACACTAGAAAACCCAAGGGCCCATACTTCAGAATCCTTCAAAAAAGGTAAGCAAAGAAGGTAATAAACCCTAAACTGAAGCTAGCTGCGGGCGCTGAGATAGCCAGCAGCGAGCGTGCAGGGGGCGACAGCCCCTGCCAGCTCCGGAGCACCATTTCTGACTCGAGCTTCTCCCAAACTATTTCTGAGCCTTTTTGAGATTGTCCTGGACCATTTCTGAGCCTTTTTGAGCTTCTCCCGGACCGTTTCTGATCGCAAATACCGTGCTTGGGGGCTTCTCTACCTGGTGTTGTCGGCGCGCACAAAGTCCCGCAAGCCACTTCCCTACGGTGCTTGAGAGGCATCCCGACCCTGGAAACCTCGCAAATACCGTGCTTGGAGGCTTCTCTATAGGACCCTGCCTCTCCCAGACCAGGGCTTCTCCCAAGCCATTTCTGAGACTGTTGGGCTTCTCCCGGACCATTTCTGAGCTTTTTGGGGCTGTTTCTGAGCTTTTGCCTTTTGTCTCGACCGAGGGAAAAACCCCAAATTGGTGGTATCTTGCCCGTCCTCCCCAAGTACCTGAAGGTGAGAGAACGAAGAAGGAGGAACCAGCAAACAGAAAGGGAAACGGCGAACGGGCAAGGAAACAGAAACCCAAAGAAGAAAAGGGAAAACGACAGTGGGAGATCCGAGTACTTGCGACCGGCTTGCTTTGCCCGGAGGCTGCTTTGGCTTTCGCCGATCATCGTTTGTACGTTGCACGTTGGTGCCGACCGGGAGGTAAACTTCATCCATTTCCTCCACTGCCCCGAAGGCACCGCTGGGCCCTCCGCCTATTGGACATAGGTCCGCACACTGGAGTGTTCTTCGGTTATTCAATCGACGCTGAGATCGCCTTTGTCGCCGTCAAAGCCAAGGTGCTGACCAAGGCGCTGATACTAGAGGACGCTAGTGGACAACAGCGATTGTTCCAGCAAAAAAAGCGAAGATGCTACATGATGTAATTAACGTAACACTGCGCAGGTACGCCGAGTCTCGGACCATTTCTGAGCCTTTTTGGTTCTCCTTGACCATTTCTGCTTTTTAGCCTTTTTGGACTTCTCCCGGACCATTTCTGATGAGGCTTTTTTGGCTTCTCCCAGACCATTTCTGAGGCCTTTTGTGCTTCTCCCAGACCATTTCTCCTCCCAAGCCATTTCTGAGCCTTTTGGGGCTTCGCCCGGACCATTTCTGCGCCTTTGAGCTTCAGCCTCTTGTGAGAGGCCCCTGCCTGGGAGGCCCCTGCTTGGCTTGCCTAGGCCTGGGAGGCCCTGCCAGGCAGCCTGATGTAAAGCTCCTTTCTTAGCCCGGTTCTGAACCCAAATCCCAAAGCACAAGCCTCGATCCGAGGAATAGCGCGGTATAGGATTTGAGCAACTATTTGAGAGGAGAGCCGACAACAAACATGTATATATATATATATATATATGCTCACCCCCCCCCAATGGACCCACCGCGCATGGCAGCCGAGTCCTAGCCAGATCAAGGCAAAAAACAACAAAATAAGAATTAACAAAAACCAACAAACCAAAAAAATCCAAGAAACCAAAAAAAACAAAAAAACCAAAAAAACCAAAAAAAACCAAAAAACCATCTTTTCCAAAACTATGGGGCTGGGGCCTCCAAAAGATGGTTTTTTTGGTTTTCTCGAGAAAAAGATGGTTTTTTTGGTTCGAAACCATCTTTTTCTCGAGAAAAAGATGGTTTTTGAGCAGCCGCTCTTCTAAAAACCATCTTTTTCTCGAGAAAAAGATGGTTTTACCAGGACAAGACCTCCAAAAACCATCTTTTTCTCGAGAAAAAGATGGTTTTACCAGGACAAGACCTCCAAAAACCATCTTTTTCTCGAGAAAAAGATGGTTTTTCCAGGACAAGATCTCCAAAAACCATCTTTTTCTCGAGAAAAAGATGGTTTTTCGAAGAGCGGCTGCTCAAAAACCATCTTTTTCTCGAGAAAAAGATGGTTTCGAACCAAAAAAACCATCTTTTTCTCGAGAAAACCAAAAAAAACCATCTTTTGGAGGCCCCAGCCCCATAGTTTTGGAAAAGATGGTTTTTTTGGTTTTTTTGGTTTTTTTGGTTTTCTCGAGAAAAAGATGGTTTTTTGGTTCGAAACCATCTTTTTCTCGAGAAAAAGATTGTTTTGAGCAACCATCCTTCGAAAAACCATCTTTTTCTCGAGAAAAAGATGGTTTTACCAGGAGAAGACCTCCAAAAACCATCTTTTTCTCGAGAAAAAGATGGTTTTACCAGGACAAGACCTCCAAAAACCATCTTTTTCTCGAGAAAAAGATGGTTTTTCCAGGACAAGATCTCCAAAAACCATCTTTTTCTCGAGAAAAAGATGGTTTTTCGAAGAGCGGCTGCTCAAAAACCATCTTTTTCTCGAGAAAAAGATGGTTTCGAACCAAAAAAACCATCTTTTTCTTGAGGAAACCAAAAAAACCATCTTTTGGAGGCCCCAGCCCCATAGTTTTGGAAAAGATGGTTTTTTTGGTTTTTTTGGTTTTTTTGGTTTTCTCGAGAAAAAGATGGTTAAGTTTTAGGGGTTTAAGCCTCATGCACTACAGGGTTATAAGGTTCTAATCCTATAGGTATTGCCTTAACCTTTAACCCTAAACCTTTAACTTTAAACCCTGCAGGGTTAACCCCGTGAGAAATTTAGAGATAGACCCCGAAAAGACCCTAAACCTTCTTACAGGGTGTAATGGTTTAAAAACCGATAGGACATGTATACCGTCAGCGCCTGTAGGGTTCAAGCCTTTGAACGTGGGTTTAGGATTAAGGCTTAAATGCCCTCTAGGTTTAAATGCCTAAGTCTTAAACCCCAAACCTTTAAACCTTCATCCTATGGGGTTTGAAGGTCAAGGGTTTAGGCTTGATTGCCGAGGGCTTTAGGGTCCTGACCCTAGAGGGTTTAGGGTTAAGGAATAGATGCGTAAACCTTAAACCCTTAAGGTTTAAACTCTATGGGCTTAGGGGGCTTAGGTTTTTTTTTAAACCCTAAGCCTTTAAACCTTCACACTACAGAGTTTAGAGGTGTTAAGGGTGACAAATTGATTACATACTTAGCTTTAAATGCCTGAATCTTAAACCCCAAACCTTTAAACCTTAACCCTATAGGGTTTAAAGGTTAAGGGCTTAGTGTTAATCGCTGTCTTGGGTTTAAATGTCTGAATCTTAAACCCTAAAACTTTAAACCTTCACCCTATAGGGTTTAAAGGTTAAGGGTTTAGGTTGAATCGTCAGCTTGGATTTAAATGTCTAAGTAAAGAATCCTAAACCTTTAAATCTCATCCCTATGGGGTTTAAGGTTAAGGGTTCAATATGAACTGCCGGCATAGGTCTAAATACCTAAACCTTAAACTTAAACCCTAAACCTTTAAATATCTTAACCCTATAGGGTTTAAAGGTTAGAGGCTTAGCGTAAATTGCCGGAATAGGTTTAAATGCCTAAATCTTAAGCCCGAAACCTTTAAACCTTAGCCCAACAGGGTTTAAAGGTTAAGGGTTTAAAATTAGTTGCAGGCTTAATTAGGTTTAAATGCCTACATCTTATATCCTAAACCTTTAAAAATCTTAACCCTATAGGGTTTAAAGGTTAAGGGCTTGGCTACAGGTTTAAATGGCTAAATATTAAACCCTAAGCCTCTAAACTTTAACCCTACAGGGTTTAAAGGTTAAGGGTTTAAAATTAGTTGCAGGCTTAGGTTTAAATGCCTACATCTTAAACCCTAAACCTGTAAAAATCTCAACCCGATAGAATTTAAAGGTTAAGGGCTTAGCTTTAATTACCGGCATAGGTTCAAATGCCTAAATCTTAAACCCTTAACCTTTAAACCTTAACCCTACAGGGTTTAAAGGTTAAGGTGTTTTTTTTGCAGGCTTAGGTTTAAATGCCTAGATCTTAAATTATAAACAAAAGCCAACAGAAAGAAAAACCCTCCGTGCGTGTGTGAGAGGGTGAATTAAGGAATACAGTCAAAAATCCGGTCACCGGAAAATCACCAGACAGCATAGGTTTTATCGGTATTTGCGGTACTTTTGCAAAGATCAAGGCCCGCGGTGGGTCCATTGGGGGGGGGTGACCATATATATGTACCCTAAGCCCAACCCCACCAAGGTCATATAGATTGGGTGAGTGAGTTGGGAGAGGACGTGAACCTTGGCGCACACCACAACACACGCCCTGCATGGTGGTGGTGCGCGGAGCATGTGACACACCCTAAACACTAAACCCTAAACCCTAAGAGGGACCATGTTAGGGACCATGTAACTTCTCATAAACCCTAAACCCTAAACCCTAAAACGAAAAAATGCAAAAAACCTGCATAAGATTAACAATTGTTTAAAGGGCTTATAAGGTTTAGGGTTTAGGGTTTAGGGCTTAGGGCTTAGGGTTTAGGGTTTAGGGTTTAAGGTTTAGGGTTTAGGGTTTAGGGAAACTTACCCCTACAAAAGGGAAGAAAGGGGGCCCAGTCTAGGGTCCCACCAAGAAGGGAAGGGGAACCCATAAAGGGAACAAGTATCTTACCGAAAACCCTAACCTGAACGAAATATAATCTAAAACACTTATTTCCCTAAACCCTAAACCCTAAACCCTAAACCCTAAACCCAAAAACCTTAACTCAAAAAGCGTACACTTAATTGCAAAAAGCATGTTCAAGTTTCCCGTCCAAAGCCTCCGTGTCAGATCCAACATCGACCAGCAACCGCACCACATGCACGTGGCCACTCATGCAGGCCGTGTGCCTTACTTCTTCAGGAAGGTTTAGGGTTTAGGGTTTAGGGTTTAGGGTTTAGGGTTTAGGGTTTAGGGTTTAAATCTCCTTAAACCCCACAAGGGAAAATACAAAGTGTCCCAAGGGCCTACAGAGGTTCATGGTACTTAACAACCCAATGATAATCATACTTATACCCGATTGTAGCCATGGTTGGGGCACTTGAAGGGCTTGTAAGTGGGTTACAAGTACAGTTAAATTGCCCTAAACCCTAAACCCTAAACCCCAAACCCCAAACCCTAAACCCTAAACTTCCAAGTATGGAGGTCAGATGCAGCGCCGTGCGCTCTTCCCCATCAACCTTGCCGTGGTCCACGCGGGCTTCGAGCAAGACACGCACGGTGTCTGCGTGGCTGCCTCCCGCTGCCACCTTGTTTGGGGTTTAGGGTTTAGGGTTCAGGGTTTAGGGTTTCGGGTTTCGGTTTTCTTTGGGCCCCGGCAAGTGTAGAACAAAAACAGGCATCCTTTCTGTGCGCAAATGGGGGGTTAAGCAGGACCCCAAACGCAAAACGCAAAAAAACCACGGCACTTCTCGGCATCCTGAAACTTAAGCCCGAAAATCTAAACCCAAGAATAGCTTCGGAAAAAAGAAACGGTATGCCCTTTTTTGGCTTTTTTTGGTTTTTAGGGGCTAATCAGGGAACCTAGACCCTAAAAGAAGGCAAGCAATGCCTACTCTGTGTGTCCCAGAAACCCTAAACCCTAAGCCCTGAATCCTGAACCCTGAACCCTGAACCCTAAACCCTAAACCCTAAACCCTAAACCCTAAACCCCTAAACCCTAAACCCTAAACCCAAGCCGCATGGAGCGCCGTTGTGCCCGAGATGTCTGTGGAATTCTTGTCAGCTTGTGCCTCAAGCAGCAGCCTGACAATGTGCCTTACTTTTGGGGGGAAACTAGGGTTTAGGGTTTAGGGTTCAGGGTTTAGGGTTATTCAGAATTCCAGCTACTCCGACGTGCCCTTGACTAGGGGCTGCTCCTCAAATTGGGCTGGGGACACTGCCTACTTAAGGTATGTCCAGAAACTCAGGCCTTCGGAACTGTTCTGGACAACTGTTCAGAACATTTTCATTTTATGGCTGAACCAGCAGCAACCCTGCAAAAGATTCTCGGAATCGGTCTAGGCGCATGTGGCCGTAGTGGCATGCCATATGCAGAGGTATTCTCTGCCCAAAGTCGGGCAACGAGGGGTCCTGGGGACGCTGTAGCAACTCCTCCATCCAGACAGGATCCGCCCAGGAAGCCGCCGACGTCATTTCGTTCCTCTGCTCCAGGGTAGCCTCTGCAAAGGGGAGCAAGATTAGCTGGACATCCATGGGCACATGCAAGCTCGCATGGTCATCGACAGGATCTCTCTCACACAAGAGCCGCTGTCTGAACCGTGGCAGGCCGCAAAGGCTGTGTAGGTGTTGCTTCAAGCTCTTCACATCAGTCAAGTTCTCAGCAGGTACGCTTGCCAGCTCCTCCCCGGACGGCAGCCAGACGTGGAGCATCCGGCGTGCATGTAGCACTGAAAAAACACAAGGGAACGCTGCTACCTGTGAGCATCATCCAGCTACCCTGCAAAGCAACAAATAGCGCGGTAAACAGCCGGCCTTTATGTAGCTCCAAACTCCAACTGCAACCCCCGCACCCCCACCCTTCAGCACTGAACCTTGAACCCTAAAACCTTGCGGCAAGTCGAACTTGAACGCAATGGGCTTAGGAAAGCAGAGCGCTACGAAACTGCAAAGATCCTCAAGGCAGTGTAAGGGCCATACAAGGAGTATCTTGAGGGGACTTCTTGGGGTACGTCCGAGTGTGACTCCCTTGATCCCGAACCCTGAACCCTGCTATCTGCACCATTCTTGGGGCATTATTTTTGAAATCATCAGTTTTACTCTTTAGTGGGCGTAAGCATTCGTAAAAATGTAGAATGCTTTACAACAACGACCCAGATATAGGGGGCTTCAGCGCTCAGACGGTTTCGGGGGTTCAGAGATTCATCCTTGGCGGCTTCTCCAGGTTTCGGGTTTAAGGGGACTAGGGTTTTAAGGGTTTGGGAGCTTCGGGGGCGCAGGGCTGAAGGGTTTAGGGCCAGTTTAGGGTTTAGGGTTTGGGGTTTCGGGTTTGGGGTTTGGGGTTTGGGGCTTGGGGTTAAGGGTCCATGTACCATGAAGGGGATTGGCAGAATTTCGTGATGTTGGGAGTGGATTATAGGGTTCTTTAGGGAAGGGGGTTGGAGGGCGGTATGTAACTCAAGGGCCCCCAATACTCCCCACTACTCCCAAAGGCTCCCTAAGCTTCCCTAAGGATCCGTACATACCTACCCCATGGAACCCTGAACCCTGAACCCTAAACCCTAAACCCTAAACCCTAAACCCTAAACCCTAAACCCTAAACCCTCCCTTAAGAACCCGAAAGATGTTGGGGGAGCTCTAGAGTCCTTGTCCGAGTCCGCAGAGTCCTTCTTTGACTCACTTCCTGGGGTTCGGTAGTAATGAGGGTTTAGGGTTTAGGGCTAGGGTTTAGGGTATAGGTCTAGGGCTCTAAACCCTAAATCCTGAAACCTCATGTCTTACTAAGGAACAGGGGCTGAGGGTTTGAGGTTAACGCCCAAACCTCTTCGGGGTGTCTTATTGCGGTTGCGTGGTGTTGAGGGTTAGGGTTTGGGGTTTCGGGTTGAGGGTGTAGGGGGGGGAGGGAGGGTTTAGCATTTACTCTTGACCTCCAATCTCGTACTTGCCAAACTCCAAAAAAACCGACACGCCATGAGACCGGGAGTTGCACAGCCCTCCTCAACCAACCCACCTAGGCAATATTGGGCTTTACTGCTCAAAGAGCTGACTACAGCAGTATGTGTAAGGAGCCATGTATTCTCTCCAATAACCGAATACAAAGAACCACTTCAAGTTCCTTTAGTGCTGAAGTCCAGTTCCTAGATGCGTTAGAGGCAGCTGTGGCTGCACAGGCCGAAGCCAGACATTTCAAATTACGGGACCCCGGCTCCAAAAAAGGGGGACCCCTGATATACCACGCATTTACACTACACAACCCAAGGGCCCATGCATTAGAACGCTTTAAAGGAGGTAAGGGACCATGCCCCCCCCTACCCAGTCAGAATCAAAACTCCCACTGTCGTCACATCAAAGTGTATGCGGAGGTTCTATATTAGGGGGGGGGAGTTGATTAAGCCCTTGAATTAGGAGCCACAGCGTTCAGAGTACTTCTGGTGTTCTTATAGCTTCTGCAACAAGGAGCTTCGCTAAACCCTGAATCTACGGCTGCCGACAGGCCAAGGACGGTCCCTGCCTGTTCTCTGCTAGGTATAGGGTTTAGGGTTTAGGGTTTAGGGTTTAGGGTTTAGGGTTTAGGGTTTAGGGTTTAGGGTTTAGGGTTTAGGGTTTAGGGTTTAGGGTTTAGGGTTTAGGGTTTAGGGTTTAGGGTTTAGGGTTTAGGGTGTTGGTCCTTCAACGTCTTTGAAAGAGCTATTCTCGTTAAGCATTTCCTCTTAAGCCCAGCCAAGGTAACAAAAATGAATATCCAACGGGCCTACCTAGTTCTGGGTAAGCAAATGCTGGCGCTGTTCAGCGCGGTTACGAGCAGAAGTCCTCTAAGCTTAACCACCGAAGCTCCGCAAAACCCTCAAGAGAAACGAAACCATGAAGCTAACCCCCAAACCCTAAACCCTAAACCCTAAACCCTAAACCCTAAACCCTAAACCCTAAACCCTGAACCCTAAACCCGAATCCCTAACCCCTTGAAACCCGAAACCCTAGACAAGCTTGGCCCTTGGGGTCTGACAAATAATCCTAAATAGGGTTTAGGGTTTAGGGCTTAGGGTTTAGGGTTTAGGGTTTAGGGTTTAGGGTTTAGGGTTTAGGGTTTAGGGTTTAGGCTTTAGGGTCTCTTTTACCCAAAGAGGGATCATATGAAACATCCCGAGGGCCTTGTCCCGGTATACCGCATCCACCCCTCGTTACGAGTCCGAGGTGCCAGATGAGGCAGAGTCAGAAGCAGAACTGCTGCTGTACCTAGGGTGTAGGGTTTAGGGTTTAATTAGATTGGGTTGAGGGTTTGGGGTTTAGGGTTTAGGGTTTTGGGGTTTAGGCACCAAAATGGCAACGCCAAGCTCTGCAAAATCCGACTTGCACCCTGCACGTGAAACCCTCTACCTAAGCCCTGTAGACCCTTACAAACTCTAAACCCTGATTTGGAGTAGACCCTGGAAAAAAGTACATACCTTTTAGGTACAATAGGAACCCAGAAACCAAAAAAGTATTAAAGTATAGTACTCCAAAACACAGTTTTAAACCTCCTCAAGCCCTCCCGTTCCAAGTACCCTATACCCGAAACCCCTAACCCCTAAACTCCAATTGGAGTTTGGCGTTGTGCTCCTTGCTATGGGCAAAAACCGGTAAAACCCCCCTAAACCCTAAACCCTAAACCCTAAACCCTTTAAACTTTAAACCCTAAACCCTAAACCCTAAACCCTAAACCCTAAACCCTAAACCCTAAACCCTAAACCCTAAACCCTAAACCCAAACCCTAAACTCTAAACTCTCCCCGGACTTTCAGGGGCACGGAGTTGGACTCCGCTGCTTCGCCCACCGCCGCTGTTCCTGCAAGCAGGGCTGTGGCTTGGAGGTTCGGGTTTAGGGTTTAGGGTTTAGGGTTTAGGGTTTAGGGTTTAGGGTTTAGGGTTTAGGGTTTGGGGTTTGGGGTTTAGGGTTTAGGGTTTAGGGTTTAGGGTTTAGGGTTCAGGGTTCAGGGTTCAGGGTTTAGGTTTTTTGGGGTTTGGGGTTTTAGGTTTAGGGTCTAGAGTACTTCTAAGTGGGTTGTTAAAGTACAACCGTGTTGGGTTAATGGGTACTCTGAACCTCCACGACATAGGAGATGGCCCTAAACCCTACCCTAAACCCTAAACCCTAAACCCTAAACCCTAAATTCTGCACCCCAAACCCAAAGTTCCAACCTAGCCTTGCATCCCAAAACCTTGTTTCAATTCCTCAACCCAAAAACCCTAAACCCTAAACCCCAAACCCCAAACCCTAAACCCTAAACCCGAAACCCCAAGCCCTCTGAGGAGCGTAGGGGTTCAGGAGGTATGCACATAAGGGCTTAGGGGGTTCACATGGGAAGATATTGTCTTTGGGGGGTTTAGGGTTTAGGGTTTAGGGTTTAGGGTTTAGGGTCTAGGGCTTACTAGCTGGAACCTCAAGAGCCTAATCTCTGAAGCAGAAAGCCTCAAGCATGAACCCTAAACCCTAAGTAAACATTAAGCACTGAAAGGTTGAGAGTTTAGGGTTCAGACCATAAACCCCAAACTTTGAAATCCTGCAGCCCTACGCCCTGAAGCGTTCAGTTCGAGCCCTGAAACCTTGCAACCAAGAGAAAAGAAGACCCAAAAACCAAGAGACCCACCAAGCCCCAAACCCCGCAGTACAACCCGAATCCCCAAACCCAAAACCCTATCCTCTAGACCCTATGAACCAAACCCGTTAAACCCAAGGCCTAGACTCTGTAACCCTGAAGAACAAAACCCTGCACCCCCAAAGCCCAAAAAACCAAAGCCTCTAAAGCACTAATCCCAAAAATCCACAAACCCGACCCAAAATTCGAGAAACCCCCCAACAAAGCAAAACCAAAAAACAACCCAATCCCTAAAAATTCTACAAACCCCTTCAACCACCACAACCCCTATAGCCCTCACAAACCGGAATAGCCCTAAACCCTGAACCTAAACCCTTAAACCCTAAACCCTAAACCCTAAACCCTTAGACTTTAAACCCTAAACCCTAAACCCTAAACCCTAAACCCTAAACCCTAAAGCCTAAACCCTAAACCCTAAACCCTAAACCCTAAACCCTAAACCCTACCCGGCTCTGAGGCAGAAGCTCGGCGGGCCGAAGGGGAGCCCTGTCGCCGTCGGCCGCCATACCTCAGAATTTAGGGGGTTCGGGGGTTTAGGGTTTAGGGTTTAGGGTTTAGGTTTTTGGGTTTAGGGTTTAGGGTTTAGGGTTTAGGTTTTAGGGTTTAGGTTTTTGGGTGTAGGGGTTTAGGGTTTAGGGTTTAGGGTTTAGGGTTTAGGGTTTAGGGTTTAGGGTTTAGGGTTTAGGGTTTAGGGTTTAGGGTTTAGGGGATTAGGGTTTAGGGCTTTAGGGTTTAGGTTTTTTGGGTGTAGGGTTTTAGGGTAAGAACGTCCAACCCTAAACCCTACAAAATACGACTTGGAGCCTCGACTTGGCCCTACACATGACTTCGACATGTGTATGCACTGTACACCCCAATGGCATAGAGGCTGTGAAGTTATTTTATTTCCTAAGACATTCAAGACCAGTCTCCCAATATAAAACTTAAACCCTGAAGCCTACAAACCCTAACTAAACCCGGGGTCCATGAAGCCCTACTTAAGGCTACCCATGAAGCTACAGGTAACTATAGCCATCAGCGGCTCATTGTAACCCTAAACCCACAAGACAATCAAGCCCCTGCGACTTCAACCCTAAACCCT